TGAACCCAGAAGCAGTATTACTGAATCCGAGAAGTAGCAATAGGAGTATTAGCAGTGGGGGCTGGCCTCCCACCCCTCCTTCAGCGTCATTTTTTAATTTAACACTACACTCAGAGCAACCCTCTAAAGGGTTTCTGAGACTGGACATCTTTTCTGTTGGTCGGGGTGGGGGTGGGAGGCAATAGCTTCATCTGTCCCCCAAGGAGCAGCTGATGGATTTGAACAGCTGGCCTTGTGGTTAGTAGCCCAAAGATTACCCAGCAGCACCACCAGGCTCTTTCAAATTGCTCAGGTGTTAAAAATGAGGAAGAGTAATGGTGGTTTCAGACGTTATCTGTAGGGGTGTTGGCGAATATTCAGGTGATTGGCTTCTCAGAGGCTGCAGTACAAACATTGCTGTTCGTATATCACAACCAGTAGCCGGAGCCGGCAAGTGGATTCCCAGGCATAACAACTCAATGCATATCAAAGCAGAACTGTGCTCTAGAATTTTCAGTGGATGCCTCTTTTTTTTTTAAAGTAGATCTCCGGCCTTTCAATGAGCAGCCAACCACATTAACCCTTTGTGCTTCGCATATCATAAGTTCCTGTTACCCAGCAGCTCTGAGCTCTATCAGCCATTCTTACCGGTGATACTAAGGAGACCTGATGACATAGAGGTGGGCTGCTAACTGAAAGCTAATGGACCAAACCCACCAGGCAGGACGAGGCCGTCTGCATCTGGAACGATCTGGCCCCCAAGCTCCCCTGGAGCGGGCCCACCAATCCTAGCTCCTGCAGTGTGGCTATGTGTCGGGATAGGCTCAATGGGAGTGGGTTTGGTTTGGTTTGGGGTTACCAATGACTATGTGAATTTTTCATTCTCGATTCAAAGTTATTATTAAAATCTACAACATTAACCCTATCATTACAGCCGCACACTGTGGTGCTTGCTAAAGTTTCACATACTTGGGAAAATGCAAATTTTTAGCCTCGGTCTCACAAGCCTCAGAAGGTAACTCCCTGCCGTGGAGTCAGTGCTGACTCAGAGACTATAGGACCTAGGACAATAGAGCTGCCCTTGTGGTGTTCCAAGACTAAATCCATACAGGAGTAGAAACTCTCATCTTTCTCCCTCGGAGAGCCTGGTGGTTTCGAACTGTGGACCTTATGTTTAGCAGTCCTGTGCACAATCCACTATGTCACCAGGGCTCCTGATTCAGAAGGCATAGCCCAGGAAATTGCACCTTCAGAGATCCTCATGCCTGTAGCTCATGTGCTAAGCCCTGCCACACTGGCAGCAGTAAATCAGCCACCAGAGAGCCCTTTTTCTACTCTTGCTTCCTCTTTATGGCTGGGAGAAGTTCATTTGTGGGCTTGTGCTTCAGCATTACTAAGTCTCCCTATCTCCCAATGGCTTCCAGGGACCAGGTAGAGGAAAACCAGGGACAAATACAGTGACCACACAGGTCACGTAGGAAAAACCTTCTTAGCCTCTGCCCCTTCCTTTTTTTTTTGGCACTCACCCACTGCCATTGAGTCCGCTCCGCCTCTGAGGGACCCGGCGGGGTGGGGTAGAAAGCTCCCTGGGGCTTCCGAAACGAACAAGAACAAATAGTCTTATCCTTTTCCCTCTGTGGGTTCAAACCACTGACACTGTGGTTAGCGGTGTACCACTTACCCAGAGGGGCCAGCAGGCCTCCTGACCGTGGAAAGCCAAGTTCACTGCCGTGGGGTCAATTGCAACTTGCAGTGACCTCACAGTACAGAAGGAAACAGAACCAAGGCCTTTCCAGGACTGTCGTGCTTTATGCGAGTAGAAAACCTTACCTTTCTCCCAGAGAGCAGCTGGTGGCTTCGAACTGCTGACCAGCAACCCAACACGTCGCCCCCACACCACCAGGGCTCCTGACAGAACCGCTTACTCCTGAAGTGGGAATAACTCTCCAGTGTCCTCTCCCCACCGGCTCTGGTCACCACTACGTATCCTTGTCTCTCTACGCATTCGTCTGTGCTAGACGTTTCAGCTGCACACGCTCATGCAGTATTTGTTTATTCTGTTTCCACTGAGCGTCTGGTTTCAAGGTTCTTCCAGGTTATAACATGTATCAGAATTTCGTTTCTCCTGATCATTATCCATGGGAGGTCTGGATATGCCAGTGTCCGGCATAAACAGTTTGTTCTTGGTTACTCACCAAAGAGTTGGTGGTTTGAACCTGCTGCGGAAGAATGCCCTGGACCTCTGCGTCCTTACCGATTTCAGCCCAGCAACCCCTGTGGAGTACTACTCGGTAACACGCAAGGCCCCTGGGAGTAGGGATCGACTCGATAGCATTGGGTTGGCTTGGGGGGTCGGAGGATGCACATACCGATAGTAGGTGATCCCTTGAGCTGCTTTTAACTGCGGGCTCTGTTTCAGGCAAGAAGACTTCCCGCCACCCCCTACACCAGGACCTGCACTATTTCCCCTTCCGGCCCATCAACAACATCGTGTGTGCCTGGACGGCGATGGAGCACATCGACAGGAACAACGGCTGTCTGGTTGTGCTTCCGGGCACCCACAAGGGCCCCCTGAAGCAGCACGACTACCCCAAGTGGGAGGTAGGCTTGCCTAGTGGCTGAGTCCAAACCAGAATCTGCTTCGTGGCTCTCTGCCAACACGAAGACCGTTCACCTAGGTGACATGTCTTTGCTCAGTGTACAACAAGGGCCTGTGAGTTGGTGTTAGAACGAGAGAAAGTGAAAAGGTGTCAGATAACAATCATTATTGTCCGCCTTGCAGCAAGTGTCGGGAAGTCAACTGGTTGGGGAACTGTGGCAGGTGTAGCATAGGATCTGAGGCTGGAAGCCAAATTACACAGAGCTGGGATATAAATCATTTCAAGACTATATGTATGGGCTCAGTGACAAGTCAGTTTTATATGGCGATGGCTCTTGGAACCAAGAAGAGGCAGGACCCGCTCTTGGCTGGAGAGATCAGCAAAGACTCCGTGGCAGCGGCTGGAGCTTACAGCTGATCCTTGAAGGAGTGGTAGAGGCTGGTTGCACAGGGAGGGTGCAGGGAGACTTTGGGACCCAGGGTGAGTAGGAGCCTGTCCTCTGTAAGGATCTGGATGGACCCAGGAGCCTCCAGTCTACATGGCCTCCTCTGGGGGAGTAACAGTGGTGATGAGGCTGACGAAGTGCCTTAGGACCAGATTGGAAAGGACTTTGCTTGTACTAATGAGCCTGCACTTTATGTGGGCGGATTGTTCAATTCCCTTGGAGGATGAGCAATTCCCTACTGGATAGTTTGCTGGGATACTCATCAGTGCCCTCTGTCCTGGTGAGGGTGGATACGTGGCCCCAGCAGTGCCCATCAGACGTCCATGTTCTGCTACTTTGAATATGAGCAGAGTACCTCCAGGGGAATTGGGGTACTCTTAGGAAGAAGAATTCCAGGAGAGCCATCCCATAAAGGCTTGGAAGCTTTAACGACTTCTCGTGTTTGTTCCTTTGAGCAACAAGGACACATCACCTATTACCTAAGGCAGTCATTCACTTTAGAAATAGTTATTAGCAATACAATGTTATTTCTGACTATTAGTCTTTCTTTACCTGGATGTGGCAGAAGTAGCTTTTGAACTCAGTATAAAGGAGCCTTTCCCCTCCACTCACTGGGGAAAGAATGAGCTTGCCAACTGTCCTTCGGAGGAGCCATCGGTGCCGAGGTGTCCCAGTGAAGGGACTCTCATGCTGGGAAGTACCGATCCCACAGCCAGGCTGGAGATGCATCAGAGACAGTCATCTCCTGCTCTCCCCAGGTCATGCCAGGCTGGTTGAGCTCTTCCTTTATCATTGGCCACGAAGGGGAGGTGAAGGCTCCGTTTACCATTTGGCTCCCTTAAATCGGTGAGAGTCGTGTAACCTGTGGACCTCTAAAGGCAGATCTCGGAGACATTCCTGCCTCCCTCCACGGAGCCTGATGGAGAGATCCACCTTTCTCTGCAAGAGGTTGGGCAGCCCTTGTCTGCCCCGATGGCTCATGGGTAACGTTTGTCATTCTTGCACTGCCTTAAGTCGAGACAAGACTGCTGTTGTGTGTTCCAGGGGGGCGTCAACAAAATGTACCACGGGATTCAGGACTATGATGAGAACAACGCGCGAGTGCACCTGGTGATGGAGAAGGGAGACACTGTTTTCTTTCATCCTCTGCTCATCCACGGGTCCGGTCAGAACAGAACCCAGGGATTCCGGAAGGTAGGCATTGACATGGCTGCGTTCCCCCAAAGAGGAATGACATTGCGTGTATCAACCAGTTACCAAAGGTGGAAGTTTTGTAAATTTGAACTTAACTGCCCGTTCGTCCATTTTATTCACCTGGGAATATATTTGCCTACTTTGATATTTTTCCTTTTCTTTTTACCTCTTATCAGTAATAACCAGGTTACGTAAACATCTTTTTGATTCTGAGTCCGGAACATCCCCAGGATTGCTTCACACACACACATAAAAATGATCATTTACTTTGTTGGTAGCTGGCAGACTATATTTTCTAAGGCAAACATAATGGCCTAAATACTGAAATCATGACATTTGGCATGTACTTGGCTCAGAGTAGCCATAAAAGAGGAAAGTCTCTGTTCTTTTTTGCTCTTGAGAAAAAAACATTACTGATCCAAGACCAAGTTTGCGGATGGAAAGCCCAGAAACCAGATTTCACACGTGGTCTTGTGTGTTCCCCCGTTAGCCTCTTAAATTTTCCTGACTTTCAATTTAAAAGCGACAGTTTTCTGTAAGGCTCTCTCAATTTCAGACGGTCTCATAGTCCCCTGGGCTTGCAGTCCCCTGGGCTCACATTTCTCCCTGGCGAGGGGATTGCGGGTACGAAGTCTTGGGGCTCCCTTGAGCTTCATGAGGGTTCCCAGCGTGCCACCCCGTTCCCACAAGACCCTGCTGCCTACCGGAGGCCTGGGGTGAAGTGCTGCTTGTGGGCCTTTAAAAAGCTCACAGGAATAAAAATCCATTATCTTTCCATTCCATTTTCCACAAAGTTTTTGAAGCTGGCTCGGGTTTCGTCATACATTTAGTCCTCTTCCCACCACACTCACCAGACCAGGACTGGGGTGAAGCAAGCCAGGCACTGAGGTTCTTGTTGTCTGTTTTCCGCACCTGAGCTAGGAACCTCAGGCCCAAAGGTTATTGGCAGGAAGAATGCCACATATGTCGTCATCAGAAGAAATGCTTCCCAACAGTTGTATCGGCCTATCATTCATATACCTTGCAGTTCAGTAGTTCGGTCCCATTGAGGAGAGATTGCCGTCCTCGCCCCCATCACGTTCAGAGCCGTTTCCTCTCGCTCATTGCTTTGCATCCCCTCACCAGCTCCCTGGCCACGCCGCAAGAACCCTTTCATCTAGGTACTGACTGCAGGGTACCAATCTTGGATTTCATTATCAGAAAGATATTTTAAAAACAGAAACACTAATAATAACCGAGTACAACCCAAAAAAGATAGCAGAAAACATTTAAAAAAACTAGAACATATTTAAAATGGGTCAAAAGGGAAGTCAAAGGATGAAGTGTTAGATTTTACCCTGACCGCATCTGCAATGATCCACTTTCCAGTGCACCCTGCGTGGCAGCAAGGCGAGCCACATTCCTGCTCCGCGGTCAGAGGGGAGTCACTAGAGGCGCGATCCATGTGTATTTTCTCCTTCGCTTGTTGTTTTTAGCTGAAACAACTTTAGAATGGGCCAGAAGGGAGAGCAAATGATAGGATTACATTTAACATGACTGTATCTGCCATAACAGCCGGTACAATGCTCTCTGTCTGATAACAAGGCTGTTCACATCCTCGACTAAATTAATATTTTAATGCACTATTGTGAGCTTTAATATACTAACTTTTTAATTTTAAAATATTATGATTTTTTAAATGTATTTTAAAATACATTAATCTATGAAAAAAACACTGACGTTGAAAAAAGACACGTACGTCGGAATGCACATTTTCAGGTTCCACTTGGGCTGCCGGTGCGTCTTGTCCAGATGCCGAGACAGCGTTGGACAAGGAGTTTGTAGCGCCAGTGCTTGATAATTTGCCAAAACAGACGCTCCTTCGGACAGCTGTGATCACTTTAAAATGATTAGCTCCTGACCAGCAGGGTGAATTGTCACCACTGCCTTATAGTATAGATATGCTTCTACCGTTGTTTTGTTTTGTTTTCAAAAACAGGAAGTGCCAACTGACTCAGCCTTACTCTTAGAAGGACATAGTGTATATTATATTTCAATGATGTTGGCCTTTAAATATCCATTTATCTTGAGAGGAGGTGTGTGCTATTTGCCTTCTCGTGGTATTTTCAGCTGTTTGGGAAGCTTTTGTCATTGAAATAATAACCCCTCCTAAACCAGCCTGTGTAACTCATTTTGCCACTGAGAAAATGATGAACAGCCACGGACTGCGTGTTGTTTAGGACCTTAGGGACGTCTGCTGATTAGAAGGATGTGTTTATTACCTCTCTACCCTGAGACATTTTATTTTTAATCATTTTATTGGGGCTCGTACAACTCTGATCACAATCCATCCATCCATCCATTGTGTCAAGCACATTTGTACATTTGTTGCCATCATCATTCTCAAAACATTTGCTTTCTACTTGAGACCTTGGTATCAGCTCCTCATTTTCCCCCTCCGTCACCTACCCTCTCTCCCTACTCTGGAACATTTTTGAAAATAGATATCACAACTAGTTAAAAAACTACTTGCAATTTCTCAATGATCCTTTGCCTAGACTACAAAGAGTGGTTTTGGATACAATTGAACAGGCTTTCAATCTAGAGGCCCATTATCGGGTTAAACAATTGGCTTTCCACATGAAGATACCTTGGTTGGTTGCTGGTATTAGTGGAATTCCCTCTCCTCACAATAGTCCTTGGTTCGCTTTACACAGGCCATTTCCTGCCATTATGCCAGTGGGACTGGCTACTACATTGATGTGAAGGGCACCAGCCAAGAAAACATTGAGAAGGAAATCGTGAACATAGCGTATCAACGTTATGGATTACAAGGCACGGGCGTCACCATGAAGGTAGGGTTGTGTGGAATGAAAGTGAAGAAGGTGTCTTCCACAACTGCTTAATGGTTATTCTCCAAGGGGCCAAACAAGTGTGGAAAGAAAGCAGGACAATGTTTGTACTATGATCACACGTAACATCTACCCAGTTACCTATAGGGTCAGTAGTTCGAACCCACTAGCCGCGTGACAGAAGAAAGATGAGGCTATCTCACCCTGTAAAGATTTTTAAAAGCCTTGCTGGTTCGACTCTGTCCAATTGGGTCACTCTGAGTCAGGATTCGGCTCTATGGCAGTGAATCGATTCTATGTATTTTTTTTTAGTTGTTACCTGTAATTAACAAGTTTCCCAGATAGAACAGCACTGACACTCTAGGCACCCACTTGTTTAGTTCAGTTCATCTCTTTTAGGTGTTGGTAAATAAATTGATGGCACCTGGGAATGGTTTTAACTGAAACAACTGGGGAGACGTATCTGCTTGTTTGGCCACTGCGTCGAGGCGGAGCATCTCTGCCTTGCAGTGAAAGGACGAATCGGAGTGTCCCACAACAGCGTTTTGTTTGGCGTTGTTTGCAGGACATTTGGCACTTCCGAGCTCGGCTTGTGAGAGGGGAACGGCAAACCATTTGACCCAGCTTGTCGAGTTCGTCTGCTCACAGACACCGGAACTACCAACAGTGGCGATGGAAAATGCTTTCTCGATGCAATGACGTAATCTTTCCTATCCTTTGTTAACCAAGCTGATGCACGTAGCAGGTATTCAATTGCACATGGGTAATTTTCGGGTGCTGTGATTTTGCTCTGACAGCTGTCAGCACCGACTGAACTCACCCCCCTTGCCATCTGGTTGATTCCGGCCCTCAGACAGAGTGGAGCCGTCCATGGAGTTTCCACTGCCGCCATCTTTATGCCATGGGATGGCTACATCTTCCTCCTGCAGAGCGGCTGGTAGGTTAGAACCACCAACCTTTCTGTTAGCAACTGAGCACTTACCCACTGCACCACTAGCACTACTTGAAATTAACTTCGGGTTCCAGCTAATAAAGTGATTGATTGATTTAACTGTGTTAAGTTAGTTTCTCTTGGGGAACCCAGGAAGGAGGTAGGAAAAGCACCGTTACGTTGAGGGGATTACAAACAATACCACAAAACAAAATGTGTACTACTTATTGGATGGACAACTAATTTGCTCTGTACACTTTCCCCCAAACCATAATGAAGGCAACAGCAAATAATGATGATAATAATAATGTTTGACGACTTCATTTTGCTCTTTACCCAAGCAGAAACGAATGCTGTGACACTCAGGGTGTGTGGAGCTATG